AAGACTCTCAAAATCAAGGGGGAAACGGCGGATTCCCTGGATTCCCACGGGAATCCCGTGGGAATCCTGGAAATCCCGTGGGAATTCTGGGAATCCGGAATCCGCCGTTTCCCCCTTGCTCTTTTCTCTGTTCGAATAAGTCTTTTGTAGTCTATTACAGTATAATCACATAATATGTACCTCGATTTGTCTATTCTTTGTTAAAACATATCGTTAATATCATCATCTCGTCTATTCTATATTTGCTTTTGATTGACCTAGGTTTTTTCTTTTCTTTGTACTTGTTATCCATAGATATCGAATCCTTGATTTATTGTCGTACATAATATCAATAATGCACACTTTGTTTACATAGAAAATTTTTAAAAAAGTGATTATTAATTATTGATTAAACTAATTAATTTTCATCTGACATAGAATGAATTCTTCATTAAGAACATTGTATTTTATATTTAGGGCATACAAACAGTAGTGCAATCGTTATCTTATTTCCGTATAGAAAGCTTGAAAAAATTTCGTTTTTTTTTATGCAGTGATAGAGAAAATAAATCTCTATTTCTTCCTGGTATTTGGTCAATCTTCACTTAATATCAAAATAAAAAGAAAACAGTTTGATAAGAGTTGTTTTTGTGTAAAACTAGCTGATACCATTAGATCATAATGGATGGGGCATATTAAATAACCGCATTTTGTATTTCAGTTTTCAAACGCTTAAAATGTCGTATGAAAAAAACACAAAATATACTAAAAGATGCAGCATGGAAAGCTCGACACTTTACATAAGATAATTTTCTTTTTTTTTCTTTCAAGATTGCTCCAGATGAATAAAAAAGGTTCCTCTATAAAATCTATTTTGAACAGGTTAAAAATACTTCTACAATTTCTCTTTATCTTCCAATAACAACTATTTAGTTAAAAAAAAACATGAAACAAATCATCTCAGGTACTTTTATAATTTCTCCTCTGCTCTCTTACCAATTATGAAGTAATAAATAACTAATATTTCGTCTAATTTTTCATTTTTTACGCCATGCTCCAGATGAATTATGAAGAATTCTTTTTTACTGAATTACAAGTAGTAATAAATGCAGAATTGTTCGAAAACCAAGTGATCAGTTAGCAGAAAAGAAGTTTCAAGATAATCACAAGTCATCATGAGAACAAGGGATGAAAACAAGGGGGAAACATCGTACTATTGTACTTTAAAGTACAGCGAAGTATCGCGAAGTACATTAAAGTACATTAAAATACTTTAAAGTACATTGAAGTACTGTAAAGTATATTGATGTACGTTGAAATACAATGAAGTGGAATTAGTAGTAGGCATTTACCGTTATGTTACCAGGTCACTGATAACGAAGTAACAATAATTGCGAGACCTCGACCTTTCGGCTAAAGAAGAGTATTTCGAGAAAATAACGATTTTTCATAAAGGTTCACGAAGTAAATATGGGTAGCGCAATCTGAATCCGCAATCGTTTTCTCAAAGTTTCGAAGTGAAGTTTTGGGTTAAAGAAGGGATGTTCTCGGGAAATAATGATTTACAATAATAGTCGACGAAATTAAATCGAGGACGAGGAATCAGAATCTGCAATCAGTTTCTCGAAATCGAGAACTCGATTTTTAGATGAAGAAAGGGTTGTTATAGGAAGATGAGCATCTATGATAAGATCTCATATTATCTGTTGTGAAAACTTTTCGTTGCTGAGCTTACTTTTAATGTATTTCCTAGTAATGGCGTGAGTCTGTAGGTTATTACTCCAACTGGTCGTTCAAAATGGTGTTTAGGTATGAGATACTTTAATGATGTTTTCAGAGTTGAAGGTTTGATAGCGACTCGCTTCGCTGACATCGATAGTATATTCAAATTCAAGGAATATTTTTACATGAAACTGACTTGCGGAACTGCAAGTATGTGTTTGTATATTGTAAGCCAGTGAAGCAATGCAGCAAAACCATCAAAGAGTGTTGTGGCTGAAGTTACGCTTTTGGACGTGGGTGCATTGGTGATGGTGTGCGCATAAATTGAGGCTCTTGTAATTAGATTTGAGGAGATCCACACATTGACCGTTCAAATTTATGAAGGGTGAAGTTATGCATTGCACAAAGTCGCAGCTTGCATCACTTCATCCAATGATGCGTATTTCTTTGGTTTGGAAAGATCTATGCGTCTCTGAAGTTTCGTGGCATATTAAACTTCTATGGGCATGTAGGGCTCACTGAGATCGATAAGAAGTTCATGATGCAAGGCTGAGAGCTCAAAGATTCAGTTTAGGACTACGAATACAGTGCGATTCGGGAATTCCTTATGTTCCTTTTATGTTGACGGTTTTCAATGCTTCTTGTGAGGCATAGTTTACTGCTTGCAACACGAGATTCATTATTAAAAGAACTCAGACAAAGGATTTATAAAATACTTTGATTTTTATCATTTGTATGAATAGATTTGGTAGTATCTCAAAGCCTGCTACTCTCTGGGGTGAGTGTCAGGATCCATGAGCATTCGTGCCATTAAAAATAGTTGACACTGTTGGTGCCTTGGGGTTACTGATAGCTTCTGTTACTTGTGTGGAAACTCCGGCAGTTCTTCATAGCCCCTAGCGATCCTCAGTGGTCAACCGGTATACCTGAGAGTCCTAAGTAATCTTTGTTAGTTCTTTTGATTTTCGATCATGACTAATGGCTGCCCATAGTCGCTACCGGCCTTTTGTCATCGCTTGCCGTCCTGTGCTGTCCTTAAAAATCCCTTTCAATACGCATAACAGATCTTTTTTTTATCCTTTATCAATAGCTCTCGATGAAAAAGCAAAGTAGGATGCAATAAGATTTTTGACAGGATGCCATTTTGCGGAAATATATGATTAACTGGTAAGCATTGACGAAGATAGAAATGTTGAAACAATAACTATCATAATGAAGTTGATAGCAATTCTGAAGTTCTACGAAAAATCGAGTGTTCACAGCGTCTACACTAAAAAGGATCTACTTGTTACGAGACATATTCTTTGATCCAATTTTATTCATGTATATATCTTTCTCTATGCTTCTTCAGTATCATATATTACTGAGTCCAATAACAATACGGAGTATATCCTCTTTACGAATTCAACCTTCTTAAACGAACTTCCACTCAACACTGAAAATAGCGCATCAATTACTTTCTCTTACTATTCGAAATAATAGCATGCCTACAGGTAATTCATAAATAGACATGTTCTGTGCAAGATCTTTATCATACTACCTTTCTCAATAGAAGCTCCAGCCATGCCAACGACTTCGTTACGTACTGCATTCCTGTTCCCAAGGCATCCATTCAGAATCAAAAGCCGTGACCAATTATTACGCAAATTCAAACCGGTTCTGAACAGATCGCCTTTCATTCTATACTTGATATCCCTAGCTTTTACCAAGAAGACCCAGCATTCAGGAAAACAGTTTTCAGGAGACAACGCAAACTCTACTCAGCTAAGTGCAAAAGAACAGGCTTTCAAACGGTGAAAGGTACTTTTAATAAGAATATCTTGTTGTTGTATCTAAATCTAAAAGACGGTTTTCCATAACGAAACACCAGGAATCCACAGGATCCATGGAAATGTATTTGGGAAACCCATAAGCTAGTAAAAGGTCTTCTCAAATTTTTCTTCCTTGTCCTCTTAACTTCAAGCAAAGACGAGCGGTCCGATTCTACACAATCACGCATTTCTACCAATTTTCGCACCTATAACTTGTATACTCAAAACTCTTCACTCCAATACTTATCGTCAACGTTTATAAGAAATTAGTATTTCCCTGAAATACCACCTCCTTGGCCCAAAAATCTACTTTTAAATTTTGAGAAACCGATTGCGGATTCGGATTCCCCGGTCCGGATTTACTCTCGTCAACCTTTATTATGGGGCGTTATTTCCCTGAAATACTCCTTCCTTAGCCCAAAAATCCACTTCGAAATTTTGAGAAACCAATTGCAAATTCGGATTCTACGACCCAGATTTGCTTTCGTGAACCTTTATAGAATATCTTTATTTTCTCGAAATACTCTTTCTTACCTGAAAGGTCGAGGTCTCGCAATTGTCGTTACTTCGTCACCAGCTATCAGCTAGCTTAAATTTCAGACAACTAAATCCCTAAGCCTAAGTATAATGAAGTACTTTAAAGTACATGAAGTACGTTAAAGTACATTAAAGTATAAATAAATCAACCAAACTAAATTCGTTTCCTCATACGATTTTTATTTCTTTTAGAATTGTCTAACAATGATTAACAATTATCTTTATTAAAATAATAAATACATATATCAATCAATAGAATTCTTATTCTCTTTTTTATAGAATCAAAACAAAAATTTTTAAATATAAATTACGAAATAATAAATAAAATTGCTAATAGAGTAAATAAATAATTCTTGATCTATTATTTTCAAAAATAATAATCAGAACTATTTTATTGATTGTCTTTTACTTTATTATCATTTAATTTTATTCCAACAATCGACAAAATTATATCTGACAAAATGAACATTTTTTATTTGATTATTTTAATTGTAATTATATATAAACAACAATTGTTATTATTTCATAATCAAGTTAATTGCTCTGTTTCTTATTTAAGTCTATAATATTTACCAATGTTCCTTGCTGATTTGTTCAAACTGAAAAGAAAATAATTCAATTAAATTCTTGTAAGATTATACTGTTGATTGTAAAATCTTAGTTTTTTCCAAATATATTAAGATCATAAATAGAATCGATATAGTAACTAGATTGAAAATTCTTTATTAGAATTATAACAAACCAATGCATGTCTAATAAAAAAAACAGAATCGTTATTTATAAAACAATTCTATTAATAGAAATTTTCTTTTCTTTATTTTATTTTGAATATATTATTTAAAGTAAAACTGAAGATTGAATAAAAATAATAATTGCTATCTTATTTATTAATATGATCACAATCGATTAAATTATTTGAAGCAAAAACAAACAAGAAAAAGAATGATTATTTTAAAATTTTTTAGCAAGCAGAATAAAATGGTCATTTTGATCAATATTTGGTATATCAGTAAATCCAAGATATAAATAATATTTATGTAAACAAATATTTGTTTCATCTAACAAAACATGACATCCATTATAACCTATTAAGAAAAACATATATTTTATTTATTAAATTAATAATTAACATATATAGATTTTATTTAGAAAAACCTTGTTGAGAAAGATTTTCAATAAGAATTTTCATTAATTTACATCCAATATGATAGATTTCATCTGTTTTTATTGTTAAATCAATAAATATTTGTATACGAACAGAATATTTATCATAAATCCATTGTGGACATTCGATTAATTGAAAAAAATTCTAAATAATTAAAGAAAAAGAAAAAAGAAAAAGAGAAATTTGTTTTAGAATTAAATTAAAATAAAAAAAAACAAATGATTAACTTGATCAACATCTGGATATTTATTTTTAAGTTGTTCAATCCATTTTGTTTGAATTAATTTATCATATTTTTCACTTTCATTTATTGTTAATAAAAATCCACATAAATTATCTTCATTATTATCAATAACATAACTAAGATTAACATTATTTAATGAATTTGACAAATATCCACCGATTATTCTAATCAAAATAATAGATACATTTACACTTTTCTTTTTTTCTTTCGAATATTTATTATATTCTATCTCTTAGACAAATAATTTATCAGTCTCTTTTAAATATGATTTATCTCATAGGGTGAAGACAAATTTCGAATGACAAGAATAAAGTTTAGCGTATTAGTCTATCAGAGATGTCCATGGCGGCGCTGCCACTGCCACTGCCGCGCGGCTGCCGCCGTGGCGGTGGCGGCGCGGCAGCGGCAGCATTTTTTTTCGAGGACATTGAAAAACTGCATGAATTTAATAGAATTTCATTGTTTACAAATGAAACACCCCGAGACTGAATGAATCTGATGGACTAGTACCAATATTTCTGGTCCAATACAGTTGCAGCAGTGAAAATCGAAACACTTTTTTGAAAACCATCGCGGCGCGGTAACTTTTTTTTATAATGCCGCTGCGCGGCAGCGGCAGAGTTTCAGCCGCGATGGACATCTCTGTCGTCTATGTCTAAAGGTGATTATTTTCTTTCTTACTTTTTATTTTAACTTGAAAGATTTTTCAAAAAAAAAGTTTCGATCATTTTTAACATCAAGAAATAATCGAGTAAAGATTAATATATAGAAAGATATTAATTAATTAAAGAAATTTTTCAATTGTTAATGTCTTTAACAGTTGAAATTCTTTGTTCATACTCAATTATAAATAATTATTATATCAGAATTAGTTAGTCTAACGAAGGTATATCAATATAGTATTAATTTACTATGGTTTATAGTTAAATATATAATATAAAAAGAAAAAGTCCAAATAAAATAAAATAACAAACTTGTCAGCTAAAATTTGTGAATGTTGATTGATAATATGATTAATATCATATTGATAAGAAATAGTTGTACACAATCTATAAATAGATGTCTAAAAAATAACTAATTGAAATAATTATTTTCATTTATAAATGAAACAAACATGATCATTTAAAGTCATTGGTCGAATAATAAATATATTTGATAATGAATTTAATCCTGGTTTAATTAAAGATTGAAATTCACCTATTGGAAGTAAATCCTATTAAATAATTATTTAATTATTTAATATAAAAGAAAGAGGAAACAAACAAGAAAATCTCCAGCAAGACCACCTCGTTTTGACCATGGTTCTTCATCACCTGACATAAATACTGATGAATTTTTTTGATTGTCATCTTAAATAAATTAATTAATTAATTTAAAAATAAAAATATGAAAAATATTTAACCAATCCAATTAAGATATTTTGAACAAAGAATAAATGTTGAATTAATATCATTAATATAATTATAAATATCATAAAGTAAAGCACGATTATCAATTGATATTAATTTTTTACGTAAACAAGATATATCTTTAACATTATCATTAAATACTGATGCACGACGACGCCAATTATCTAACTTAAATGAAAATTTTTCATTTTATTTTCAAATTTATTATAATAAATTCTGTTTTTTCTTACATTTTTATATTGATTATAATTAAATCTAAGCCAATAGAAATCCATAAATACTTGTTGAATATTTGGTCCATGTTGATAAGGTAAATAAAATAATTCAACAAGTAAACGAATATCATCTATTGTTAAATAAATATTATTTTTATTATGATCACATTCCATTATATCACTTTTTGATAATCTTGATGATGAACAACTTATTACATTTTCATTTAATGATTCTTCGACATTTTCTTCACTTGTTAATGATGATATTAAACATTTTGGACTCATTCCTTCACGATAATTATCAATCTTAACATATTATTTACTTTTTTTAATTAAATAATACATAAGAAATTAAAAAAACTTACTTTAAGAATTTGTTGTGAATCATTAGCTGATTTAATTTTATTAAATTCAGGTAACCAATCAATTAAAGATTTTTCAAATGCTTTATTAACTTCATATATTGAAGATGTTTTAATAAAATCCTTATTATTATAATTATTATCTTTTTCATTTATATTTATTAATTTAAACCATTGTCCAAGAGTATTTAACGGAATAAAATTTAATTCAAATTCACAATTTGGATTTAACAATATTCCATTGATTTCATTTGAAATATTTAATGAACGACCTGTATATGGTCCCATACATAAACGACGTTGATCATAATCATTTGCATTTAAATTATCCCAAATAATAACACGACGTTTTAATATATTATTTATTGATAATAAATGAGATACTGTTATATCTTGAGATACCACTTTTCGACCTTAATATTCATTTTTTATTCGTTAGTCAAATTTTTTTATTTACTATAGACAGTCAAAAAGTAGCGTGTCCAATTTGATGAGCTAATTTTAATTAATAAAGCAAACATTCCATGTTGTAGAGCAAATCGAGGCGCGTCAAATGATATATTATAAATCTTGTTTTCAACAAATTTCTTTATCAAAAATAGAATGATCGGAGATACTAACTATATAACCTTGTAACCCGTAATAAACTCTACAAAATTGTATATAAGAAAATTATTTTTAGAAATACTTTCGACTGATACCAAGACCCAAAATGGCCAATGCTTTGAATGCATGACTATCTATCGATAAATCCTGTTTGGTTCCCTCAAAAGTTTTTGAAAACAAGATTTATAATATTATACCATTCGACGCGTCTCGACTTGCTCTACAATATGATATGTTTGCTTTATTAATTCTGAGTAGGTAACTAAATTCTACACGATACTTTTTGAAAATTCTCAGAAATTTTTGACTGTCCATAGTATATATATATTTGATTTAATCAATATAAAAATAAAAACTATTAAATTTGATTGAATAATATAATCATTATTCAAATAAATAAAATATAAAATTGATCTTTTTATTGATTATATTTAATTGATATTATTCGATTAATCGAATATACATATATATTTGATAATATTCAACTATAGAATTGTTCAATATATTATAAAAGATCTTTTCTATTTATCATATGATTAATTATATTAACTTTAATAGTTATTCTATACGATCAAACATTTAATTATTATCTATATATTTAATTAATTTCGTTTGTGTTTATATCGATTATTTATCTTAATTCAATTTCAACAATAATTTATTTCCTATTAAAATTAATCAACAAAACTCTAATTAACTCATATATAAATAAATTATTCAATAGAATTAATATATTGACAAGTTTTTGTCGAAAATTCAAACAATTTAACATAAATATTAATCTCTGTGTTTTATCTAACTAAATAAATTCAATGAGATTATTTCAAATTGAGAATATTTATATAAATAGATTTATTTCTCAGAAGATTATCATGAAGATTTCAGATTGATAATCTCCTGATAGATAAATCTATCTATATAAACACTCTCACAATTGAAATTAATCTCATTCAATTTGTTAGTTTAGTTAAAAACAGAGACAAATATTTAAGTTAAATGTTTTAAAATTTTGATTAAATTCCTATAGAATTAAAAATGTATCCTTGTTCGATTGACAAATACATATAATATATTGTATCAATGCTACGTTATTTCTTTTGTCAATTAAATATTTAAAACCAAATATGAAAATGAAAAACGTAAGAAGAAGAAGAAGACGAGGTGTAATTCTATTGTAAGAAAAAATAAATGCGGAAACTTCGGATTTAAATCCGAGAGTTATGTGTACTTCAAAAAGTGAATCATACAAATCAATCATCCTAGACTGTCTGAATATCAAAATTATACTGTGAAATCTACCATTTAAAATGTTGATTTCTATTGCGCGTTGCCAAACCAATAGGACATGGGACCGAATACAGCTCAAGTCTGAACTTTTTCCCTTGATTTACCCTAAGAAAGTCGTTTTTCCTATAACTTCATTTCTATTGGTCACTGCACAACTAATAGTATTTCGATGGAAGTGCAGTATACATTCGAGTTCTCCATATCTGAAAATCTCGAAGTATCATCAGTGTGACCGGAAGATAAAGCTCTATTTGTGGATCCATTAGATCGTGGACCAAAATATAACCTAGTTCTCTTTAATTATCCTTGTCATAGGTAAGTCAATCTTCTTGTTTCTTTATGTTTTATATATCATTTTGTAGTTCTTGAAATTCTCTATCGAATGGTATATAATAGTTGGGGTTTTAATTGACTATGATAGGAAAAGTCTTTTACGAAAGTCACGATGGGTCCATTTTTCCACAGAAAGCTGTAGGGAAAAATGGGTATTTTTGCAATAACTCAGGAACGGCTCGGCCGGTCCTTCTCATCTTCGAACTCGACCGAGATATTGTGAAGATTAAGCTGTGTAGAAAGTTTCATCGCAATCTGACTCTGCTGTCAAAAGTTATCATGTAAACAGCCAACCGGACGGACGGACACACCGACTATTCTATAATGTACTCACTTTTTGAGTACACAAAACTATGATTCGGTTCAAAACTAATATCAGATTCAGAATCAGCGTTAAAAACTGAGTCGATTTATGTGTTTTGTGAATAATTATGAGCAAAAACTTTTTTTTCAAAAATCCCCGTACCCCCCTCAGGGATGGTCTGGTCAAAAATCACAATTTTTTCGATAACTCAGCCATTTCTTGACGAATCCTTCTCATCTTCGAACTCGACCGAGATATTGTCAAGACTAAGCTGTGCACAAAATTTCAGCTCAATCGAATGTAATTGTGAAGAGTTATCGAATAAACGGACGGACGGACGGCCGGACGGCCGGACACACTGACCGATTTTAGTAGTGTACTCACTTTTTGAGTACACAAAAAGTATAATTGAATAAATAATAATTACCCGTCCAAAAAATGTCAATATCATTATGTAGACCATCACCAATTGTTTTTAAATAGGAAGATTTATCAATAGATGGTTTTGCCATTCGACTACAATAAACTAATAATTAATTTATTAAATAATTATTTTATTTATTGTTTTTTATTTATTTATGATAAATTAACCTGTTGGACAAAAAATAAATATATTTGGTTTATTAAGATAATAATATAATTTATTTGTTATATCAACATGAGCATGAGCAAATGATGGATATAATTTTTTATCTTCTTCAGACATATCACTTTCAATATCATCAAATAATAATGCCCAATTTTCACATCCAATACTAGATAACTATAAATAATAAATATTATTTATTTCGATAAAAATAAATAAATATATGTAAAAACTTGTTGAAATTTTTGTTTAAGTGATTGTAAATCTTTATCAGATGAATATGTTATATCAATACCAGGTGATAATGCATATATTAAATTAATTCCAATTTGTTTAGCTGCATTAATTAATTGAGATAATTCATTTGATTCTTCATCACTATATAAATCTCTCCAATGAGATCGATGTTTTGCATCATCTTTTGGTGCATATACATATGTATTTAAACCAAATCTTAAACAACTATTTAAATATATTAATTAAAATATTTTGTTTTTTTGTTCTTTATTTATATTAAATACAAACTATTCAAAAAGTGATATTCGTTGATTAAATGACCATGGACGACCATAATAACCTAAAATTGTATATATGTCTAATTTGAATAGTTCTTTAAACTATTCAACTATTTCAATACAAATCATTGCATTACTGAAGATACTCTTGTCAGTAATCTGTCCTCCGAATATAGCATTTTCTGATACTACAAGCACTGACAAGTGCGTGTGATCACTAAGGATGGACACCAACGCCTACAATCGTACATTACATCGTACTGATGTAGATACCAGGAAAATACGGACATTCTGAAGATACTATTATTCAAATAGTTGAAACGAATTAACGACTTCTACATAACTGAACAATTTAGGAAAAATGTTTTTCATGTTAAGTTAAGAATGTTAAAAAAGTTGTGTTGAATTGGAAAGTTTAGAGAAAAAAATTTGAGTTCTAAGCAAAAAGAAAAAGATTAACTTATTAATTATTTAATTGAGTAGTATAATCAATTTATTTTGATTAATAAATGATAATTTCGATAGTTTAGTTCAGTGTAGTTATTTGGATGAAATTATTTTCAAACTGTTTTGAATATTTCAATTGTATTTAAAATAAAATCTTGATTATAAAAATAACATAAATATCTATTGTTAATTATTTTAAAAAACAGAAATATAGGATTTAAAAACAAAACAAAAAAAAACGTGGGTTAACAATCGATTTTTGTTTTCTAAAAATGTCTTGTCAAACAAAATAAAAATAATTGATAATATCGTTTCTAATCGTAATCTATTTAATTAATGTTTGAGTCGTTATTTATATTATTATTTAAATAAAATCTAAAATTCGTTATTATTGAACATACCTTCAATAACTCCACAAAGAAAATAATTATTTTTCATCTTATTTATTTGATTAATATATAAAATAAGTGTAAACTAGCCAGTCGTTATTGTTGTGTGTTAAAGATAAATATTGTTATCATTATCTTAAATATAATTTATCTTTAAAGTTAAATATATATATGGATATTTATTGTTATCATATTTATGAGAAAAAAAAACAAAAATTATAACTCAAATGAAAAAGAAATATTTGTTTGATGAATATTATTCCAAATGTCAATTAATTTTTGAGGATGATATACTCGAATACAAATTGATTTATTTGTTGAATTAATATTATTATTATTGTTAAAGAATAATTTCAATTTTGATAAAAATCCATATTGATGATTATTTAAAAAATGATTTGATGATGAAGATGTTGAAAAAAGTTGATTATTTTTAATTAAATTAATTGACATTGAATAAGATAAAAGTCCCATATAAATATAATCAAAATAAAAAAGACGAGTATATTTCGATGCAATATAATATAAACGTGCATTATAACGTGTCATTAAAAAACATTCAGTTGATATATATGGAGGATAAATATCATATGGATAATCAGTTATTGACATATGCCAACGATCATTTATAAATCTTCGAGGACGAGATTTTTCAATTAATTCACCTGTTATAAATGTTCGTCTTTCATATGTTGTCATTTCTTTATCTTCATCTATATAATATATATATATTAATAATTTATCTATATCAACATAATAATTATCATTTATAATAAAAACATATTTTCGAAGATCTATATGAGGTGAACGAACAGATTTTGATGTACAATAATCACTTATCCAACGAAGCATCATTATCATTTTATCTTTATTATATATTAATAAGAACATTTTTTGTTTTATTCTAATTAAATTATATTTAAAAACTTACATGAACTATAATAATAATAATCAATATTATCTATTTGAATTATATCTCCATATTTATTTGATTCATCTTCAATACTTGTATTATCGACATTTCTACCTATAATTAAAATTTTACAATATTTCCTTCCTTAATTAAACAATATATATAAATGACTAACTATATTAAAGATAAAAATAAAATAAAATAAAATATAATAATATGTGATATAACATGCATTATTAATCAAAATAATCGAAGTGAATTTTATAGGAAAAAGCATATTTAATAAAACTTACGAATTTAGAAGAGTTTTTTTAAATCTAATTTGAAATATTTTATTAAAATAAAATAAAAAAAAAGTGAATATTGATTTACCTAAAACAAATGCTAATTGAATATTTTTATTTAATAAAATTTGTTTTATTGCCCATGTCATTCTAATAGCTTGTCGTTGTTTAAAATTTTCTATATTTGATTTAACTAATATAAGTAAATGTGGATGAATTAATGTTTCAGGATCAATTGAACGACCACATAAATATTTATTTTTTATTATAAATTTATTTGGAAGAATATTATTTGGTAAACCTAAAACTTGTTCAACATTTTCTTCAATTTTTGTTACATCAATATGTTTCATTCTTAAATGATATTCATTTTCAAATGATTTTTCATACCATATATTATTATTAAATCCAAATAACATATTTAAATAATATAATATTAATATACAAATAATAAATTTCATATATAATGATATATTATATCGATATCGACATCGATCAAACAATTTATTTAACAAAACATTTTCAATATAATATGAACGATTTACAAATTTTTTTGATTGAGACATTTTTCTTTTTTAACTAAATAAATATTTAAGAAACTTTTTTTCATTATAAAATAATTTAATTAGATTAATATAAAACTTTCGCATAGAATATTTAAGATACGATCATATAGATTTATACTTAAAATTTACTTTTTCGAACTGTTTTTAAGACTAAATTCATTTTTAATCTATTTACTGTTCGAAACAATTCAACTTTAAAAATATTGATTAGTTAAGATGATTTTTCTATTTTCATAAATGATTAATCAGTTAACATTCATTGTAGAATAAGAAGATAATTATTTATTAATTTAATTAAACTAGAATTTAGTTAGTTTTACTTATTGTTTTCATTGATAGAATTAAATAAATATTATGTCTTTTCAATTTCTATAAACAGAAAAACTTGTTATCTTAGCTTCTTTAATATTAATATGTTGAACTGACATCTCTTATTTAGTTTGATTATACAAATACAAAATACATCATCTGTTAAATTTCTATTTTTATAATAAATATTTATTTTCCAATAATATAATCCTATTATAGATATTAATTATATTTATGAAGGATTTTAATAAAATTTCTTATTTATATCGATGTATTTCTTAAGATTTATATTAATTATTAGCCAAAGTTCGAACTTAATCCGATTATTCTTTTCTCTTTTTCATATTATAGAGTTATGCAAAATAAAAATCTTATTGTTAATATAGTTATTTATCTGAGAAACAAATGATTTTATTTTCAATAATGATAAACATATTAAAGCGATTTTAATTTCATTGAAGCTTGTTTAATGTTCGAAATTAATTCTAAACGTTTTTTATTGATCATGTTTAATCGTAACTATTAAGATCTTTAATTAGCGATTAGTTAGAAGAACGTTGATTTAAATTTGATATAAAGAATAGTTTTCTTCGAAAATCTCATAGAGATCAAGAAAAAAGAATATTCTGATAAAAACTAATGTTGACTTACTTTGTTAAGAGTTGAAACATGCAATGAGATTTATTTAAATTATAAAAAAAAAAACAAAAAAAATTAAATCTGCAAAAAGACTGAAACGAAATAACGAATAAAAATTTGAAAAAGTAAATAATCAATAGATATTTCTTTTTTTTTCACTACTGAGATTGACATTTTTGTGCAATTCTTTTCAAGTCTTTTTTCTTCTTCTCTTTCTTTTTTTTCTTGATTTTTTTTTGAGTACATGAAAGAAAATTGTTTAATTGCAAGTAAGAAAGAGAGCAAATGAAATAAATAAACACAAACATTTATCGGACATAAGACGACAACAACGAAAAAAATGAAAGAAAGAAAGAAAGAAAGAAAGAAATTTTTTTTTTCTAAACAAAAGTCACTGCAGGTCTACTAGTCGAAGATATTTGATCGTCTAGAATTGAATTTGAATTCAATATAGAATTGGATCGAATAATTAATTCAGGTCCACCACCATATATTGAATATAAGAAATTCCATATTGATTCATTTACTTGAAAATAGTTACAATCTTAATAAAACAAAACACACAAATATTATTATTATAATTAATAAAAATAATTAACCACGTCTAATTAAACGAGTAACACCATTTTTAGTTGTTGAAATAGCTGCATTTGATATTGGACCTGGAGGTTCTATTTGAATTTTATTTTTTATTTTTTTTTATTTTCTAAAATAAATATTTACCAGATGATTTTTCACAAACAAAATTTTCCCAATCTCGATACCAATTTGGACTAAGAGCATAAATAGCATCTGTATCTTTTTCAGATCTTTTTAACTAAAAATAAAATAATATATTTGTTATTTTGTTTAATTTGTATCATAAGAGAATCATTTCATCATTATAATCAATGTCGAAATACTCTCTTTGATTAAATAACATCCACATATCATTTATAGATCTATTTATTAGATAAGATTTTTTCTTATTTAAATAAGTTAATATATGAAAAATGTTCTTACAGAAAAAAAGAAAAGAAAATTTGCTTTGATTTATTCAATGAAGACACAAAAAAGCAAATATAAAGATATTATTTTCAATAAAGAATTAATCTCATCTGAAAGATAATCTTTATCTTTTTTTCTTGAGAATATTTGATAGTTTTTATTTATTAAATTAAACAAAATAACTTTCATTCTAGAGTTTGTTATTCGATTAAAAAACAAAATAGTTTTGCTTCAGTTTTTTTTTAAACTTAAATTTTATTCGAAATGTTGAAAAAAAAAACAAATTCGAATAAATTATATTGGTTGAATTAGTTTTTAAAGATTTTCCATTAAAACAAAAAAAAAAGTCAAATGTGTTGAATTATTTTCAATGTTTTATTTTATCTGAATAAAACATTAAAGAAAATCATATCCAATGATATAAAATTTTCTGAATAAAACTGAATGTCTTTTTTTTTATTTTTGTCATAGGTTAATTAGGAAAACAAAAACAAGCAAAAACGAAAGGCGCGTTAGAGATAAAAAAGAAAAAAAAAGTCTTTAAATAAATGTTGATTATAAAAATGTTAATATTATATTGAAATAAAAAAAAAAAGAAAAAATCTTTAAGATTTTATTGTTTAACATCTTATTCAAGAAATAATTTATATTAAATATTTTATCAAATAGAATTATGTTCATCAATAAGATTAAATAAAATTCGTTATTCAAAAAACAAAAGATTTTTATCATTTTTACATTTTATTATGTTTAGTTAAATTATTCGAGTAAATTTACAATTGAATATCTTAATTATTCAATTAATAATATTTATATACTTATTTCATTTAATCTTAATTATATTCAATATAATTATAATAATACCAAATATTATCATTTAAATAAATCTTATTCATTTTATTGGAATTTATATTATTATTATTATGACATTTTTTTCTTTAATAATCAATGTTTTTTTTAAAAAAAAATCATTGTAGTGAAGATCTTGCCAAAATTTCCATTTTTGTATCAATATGGAAAAGTAATAAATTATTTAACTAACAAACTTCACAAACATAAATATTCATGTGGATTCAAAAATGTAACCTTTATTCAAAAATTTTTAAATAATCAATCAATAACAGGTTACCTTTTTTTTTTTTCTTTTAAACTATATTTACTACGAACAATTTTTATCATCAAACATTTTATCATCATATATATGGAGGTGATCAGTCTGATCGAAGAATCTAACTTTGTTTATTATCATCTAGCGTCTATAATATATCAAAAAAGAATTATCATTTATAGTATTTATATTATGGTGATGATCGGTCAATTCTAATAAGTGTCTATATATTGCTTCAAACTAAAATAATCAAAAATGGTCAAAAACTCTTACTATTTATAAACAGATATATTCTCCATTTTTGATTATTTTAGTTTGAAACAATATATAGACACTTATTAGAATTGACTAATCATCACCATTATACAACTACTATATATGAGAATTTTTTTTTGGTATATTATAGAAGCTAAATGATAATAAACAAATTGGAATCCTAAGAAATAATCTTAGAATATTTCTAATAATAATAATAATATCTATATTTATTATTATTGGTTTAACATATTATATTGAAATATATCGAAAAGAAATAAATCAATATAAATAAAAAAAATGATCAATCCGAATATAATTATGATAGAATTAGTGAATATTAATAGACTTACTTGTAAAAATGTTTTTTTTTCTAAACGTTGACGACATTTTAAATTTTCATCATCTAATTGACATTTTCGACATGGATATAATATATTACATACTGGACATCCACCATATCTTATTTATAAAAACATAACATTTTGTTTTTTTTTATTATTATTCATTTTAATTTACTTTTCAGATAAATATTGCCAAACAGTTTCAGGTACTGGACAAACAAGATCATTAATAACACTCCAATAATCTGGTAAAACACCTTTTTATTTTAAAAATAGATTATTAGTAAAAGAAGAAAAAAAAACAAAATCCATAATCAAACCTCCATGTTTACATAAAAAATCATTATTTGTTATTGGTCCTGGTTCAGCAAAATAAAAAAATCTATTTATCCATGAACGAGATATATAAAATGGTAATAGATAATCCTTTAGATTTAATTAAACGACAAAATTTTATTTATTATTTAAAAAATATTTATTAAAACAATACTTGATCTCTTGATAGTAAATGACGAATTGTTTCATATGTTTCACTTATATTTGATTCTTTTTTTCTAAAATAATATTATTTATATATTTATATATAGAACAAAAAAACTAAAAACCTATAAAAAAGAACATATGCTTCGGCATTTTGAACAGTTGCTGTATCAACTTGTCTAACATTTTCATCATCATATTCATACCATTGTTGATTAATACCATTTAATGAATATGTTATATAATGACCACTACCAGCTCGACCATAATGAACAATTAATGAAAATAAATCATATAAATGAACTTCACTTCGACAATCTATCAGAAGAATAAAAAAACCGATTGTTATTTATTTATATTAAATTAATAAACAAATGAAGATAAACCTTTATGAATAAATGGTCTCATATCAAGATCGACTAGAGGAAATGAAACATAACTTCCAATTTTTGTATATATCATTGAATCATGACGAAAACGTTTTAAATGTATGCATAATACCTTAAAGTAACATAAAATCATATTTTTTTTTGGCTATTTTATTTATTATCAATATGAAATATAAATAAAAAATTCATTTATGTATTTTAATAATAAATATTCTTGTCATATTTAATCAATATAATATAAATATTGATTTTAAAGTTAGTTTTGACTGAATAAAGATAATATATTTATACTAATTAAATGAATATATAACGATGACGAAATTAGAACTTTTCTTTTTCATTTCTTAACACAATAATTAAAATAAATTCAACAGTTACATTACTTCATTGAATTGTTAATATTAACAAGAGTATAGAATATTTAATAATCTGAATAATATATTAACCTTTATTTGTTTTACTCAATATTTACTCTTATTATAAATAATA